CTGATGAAAAGTCTGTAGAGGCTGGAAACATGGAGAAAGACAAATATCTACAGTATGTGGAGACAAAACAAGTAAAATGAGACACAAATTGACAGAAACAAAACAAAGGAGACAGAAAACAACAAGGCACAAATACCGAAAACGAGACACAAAATGACACGACCAGGAAAAGCACGACAAATACGAGACAGCATGAACACAAAGAGACACAAAACGACAGAAATTTGACACAAAAATAAGAAAACGAGACACCAAACAACAGAAAGGAGGCAAAACTGTCTCCCAGAGTTAGTGAGGGCTGTAGAACTGTAATGATGAATAAATAAACTGTGTGTCGGCTGACGTGCTGCATAACTCAGGTCCTAAGTTGCAGCTTTTCTAAGTTGCTGTTTGCTTCAGATTTTGATGTGAAATGGATTAATTGTGTTCAGCTGCAGGCAGATGTGAGCGGCTGCAGGAGGCCGGTCTGAGGTGATCTCAGGGTCGGGCTGCCGTCGCTGTGGGAGAGGAGCAGTGAGTGTTGCAGCGCAGAGGTTTCACGGCGTAGGCTTGAGTCTCTGCAGACTCTTTGTTGGATTTGTTGTTGAGTCGAGTCACACGTTTCTCCCACGTCCACATTCTGACATTCTGCTCAGCTTTCATCCTCCTCTGCTGAATCTCTGCTTCTATTTTTACTCCGAGTCTCCTGCTCAACACTCAGGTCTTATCGAACTGGGCAGAGTGGGCAGCTGGCAGCACATCAGCACAGCGCCGGCACCGCTTTGACTGCTGCTGCCTTCACATGAAATCAGAAAGCGGAGATTTTCCAGGTGTTAGCTCTGATGCTAACCCCGTAGCTCTGCTGCCTATATAAGCTTCTTTTGCTGTTTTGAATGTATGTGCAGCCGTCCTGTACTCCACCAAACAGATGCTGATGTTGAGAACTGATAATTATCTACTTGTGGTGGTCGATCCAGTAATATTATAAATGCAACAAAACTTAAAATACGAAGTACAGCTGCCTGGTTCTGGAAAATACTGACCCGATGATATTTAGTTTTTCTTCAATATGAAAAAAATCAGGAATTTTCAGCAGATGACTTGAAGAACTCTATTTCTGATTGTTCATTTCTGCTCGGTTAGATAAACAGTAAAGTTAAAAAGCACAATATTACAGATCAGTTCCTCAAAGTCTCGTCTAAGAACATGAAAAGTCTTCTGATGTCTCGTTTGGTCCAAAACACTGTGTGATTAAAACAGCATCAAACCACCTCATCGGGGAAGAACAAAAAAGATTTTTTCTCTCAGACTGGAAAGTTTTTGTTGTTTTGATTCCTTCGACTTCTGCCTTAAAGCAGCACCATTACTAAAATACACTGATGCTGCAATATTTGGTTTGTCTGTGAAATATATTGAAAAAAATCCAGGAATGTTCAGCAGATGAATTGAATGACTCCGTTTATAAATAATAAACACAGTTTGGAATCTTTCTCCTTTGGTGTAACTTTGACAAAAACATCTGAATTAGTTTTTCTCTTTATCTTTGTTGCTTCTGAGTCACTGACGACTGCAAACAGAACCAGTTCCTGGTCCACGTTATGGTTCTGTAGCTGAAATGTTCATGTACAGCTGATGAGGGCATAACGGACAAAATGATGATCAATAATATTCTGATTCATTGATTTTAGGGACAAAATATTTTTTCACTATTAAACTAACATTGTGCTGCTTTTACTTGATGTTGTGCTGCGTTTATGCTCACGGTCAAATCTGCACCAAAGTCAGACCGAAAATAATCTTCAGCTGAAGTCAGAGCATCGCCTAAAGGATAAATAATAATAGTTTAAATTAATTTGGACCAAAAACTCCTCACTGGCCGAACATCTGCTGATTGACAGAAATTGCAGTTTCCAGATGTTCC